CAAAATATGACTTGTAATAAGTATATTAAATGGCTTATGCCACTTTCATAATCTCTTATTGATACATATATATATATATATATGAATAAAAGATACGAGATATATAGAGTATAATCATCTGCCACTGCATAGTATGAATATTTTCTGAAAAGATGAAGAAGAAAGAAAAACTAAAAACAATATAAAGAATAGAATTTAAATGTGAAGTGAGAAGAAATAATTCGTTAATTAAAAAGCCTTATGAATTTGACTGTTACGTTAATATGTCTGAAAGAAGAAGAAAAAGAAGAAGAAAAAGGCGAAGAGAAAAATGAAGAGGAAGAAAGTGCTATAAATCGCAAAAGATCGTAAAAGATCAATCTAGATCATGGCGCCAGGACCATAAGATATTTGCCAAAGAATAACGGAGAGTATAAGTGAAGGTGAATAACTTTTGAGATAAATAAATAATTAAAGCAATAAAATCATTTGAAAGAGAGCTTGCTCGCAATGCGTTGCACGCGATTCAAATCATTATAAGAATAATAATAATAATAATAATAATAATTAAATAAATATAAATAAATAAATAAATTGTTAAGCGTTTATAGCGATAAATGAATAATAAAACAGAAAAGAAGAAAAAAAAAGTAAGAAAGATTAAAGAGATAATTTGTAAACGAGGGTCACATTTGTTGGCAGGCCTTAATACAGAAAATCCTATATACGTATAAATTGTATATGTTGTAATAGATTCTCTGATCCTGAACGCGAAATAAGCTTTTTGTACATGACCAAGATAAGCAATCGTTTGCACTGGCTTATAAAATATCGAAGAGAACATGTCCTACAGTTAAAAGATAGAGTTATCTAGATAACTAAAGATTATCCTATGCCAGTATAGATTAGAGCTAATAATTTGCATTGTTTTCTTTCTTTCTTTTTGTCTGCTCAATTGTTCGAATATTCGTGACGAAATTGGGACTTGATTGAAAACGAATGATAGATATATATCTATACTACAAAATTTACGTTGACAATTTTCTAATAAAATCAATTTGCCAATTACATTTGATATGAAATCTTTTTCTACCTGTTTTTAAATAGTATTCAATATATATAATAGTCAGCAAAATAAAAAAAATACATATATTGAAACCATTTTACTATAAAAGTACAGGGGGAAAAGTATGAAAAGAGAATTTAAAATGCAGTTCTTACAAATTCTTTTTGAATAATTTAAAAAATAAACAAATAAAAATTATAAATTTCATTAAAGAGTAAAAGTATATACATCATTTGCAAGCATCTTGCACATGTCTACAATATAATTTATTTTTTATCTATATCGGGAGAAAAAGAGAAAGAGAGATAGAAAGATTTTTTGAAACAATTTATCATGTCAATACTTATTATTATTATTATTCGATTCACTTTATGAAGAAGCATTATGATTATTTAATAAACAAACAAACTTCTGACCGAATTTACTATTGAATAAAACTTGTTTTACACATTGGCTGTGATTTCTGATCAAGGGAATAAATATGTTCTGTGTATATTCAGGCAATGTAATCAATCGATCAAAAATCTATTTCAAATTTATTCATCCTCGGATTTGTTTTGGATATAATTATACATATATTTAATGCTCAAGACTTACTTTAAAATGTGTTATTCGCCGTTGTAAAAAACGTTGCAAACAACAGATTTTAAAAATATATTTATAACTATTGTGTCATTAACGATCGTACCAGCCATTTCTGTGACAATCGATCTTGATGAAAATATTTTAAGTATGTCTAGAGCTCTGTTATGCGTTATTACACCCTAATATCCTTAAACGATTCAACAACGCGTTTTGCTATGGATTAATCTATACCGTGTGCCAAATGTCTACCAATCCACCGAATTATTCATATTTATGTGAAACGTTTAATGTTACTACATTGATCTTAATTTACGATAAGATTCCATTTATTTTAACTTTGTTTTTTTATTTCTCTCAAATAAAACGAATAGAATAAAGAAGAAATGTTAGTGAAATTATTTGACTTTAAAATGCAAATACAAATGTGATAACCACCGTTGTTAACAAATTACATGTTAAATAAAGTTATTGTTTTAATCTCAAATTGTTTTATATCCAATTAAAAAGATATTTAAATAAAGATCGATTGTAATCATAGAAAAATAAGATTTTACTAATAGTGATTAAATAATTAGAACTAAATCCAAAAGCTAATAACACGCATCGTATATATAGAAAATAAATTCTTCTGGAGTCCTCTTTTTTTTCTCGACTTGTCGAAAATTGTGCCAATTAAATAACAGTTCAGATAAATGGAACATTATCGTAAATTGAATGTTATTTATTATTTTTACTCGTAAAAAAGAATTTACTCATCAATGGAGAGAACAAATATTCTTTTTCGTTTTAACGTTCTCTTTATATTAATATAAATGCAATAGTTTCATTATAATCAAATATAATAATAATATTTAAGTTTATGTAAAAAGTAAATCAAAATACCACATTAATGTGTAATGTTATAATGATGAAAGAGTTTTTTTAATATTAACATAAGGTAAATTACTTCTCTCTCCTCTCTCCATTCGATGTAATTTTGCAAAAGTACCTATTGCAAATTAAAAATAGTTTTCATAAAATATCGTATTTCTTGATGGAAAAAAAAGAAGACAAAAACATGTTAATCGACTTTTCTCTGTATCCTTAAAGTCTTTAAACGCGTATCTCCTCGTAAAGGTCCTAAAAATACATACGTAAATGTAGACAAGTAAATATCGTTGAAAATGTTTGCAAGAAAAGCATGAGCTTTTGATATTTAAACAAAAATTTGTAACGAAACCATACAAGGTAAAGAAAAAAGTTAATAAAGAAAAAAGCGTGTTTCCAAAATATGTAAATCTTATATCCTGATCAATGCCGATCTTATTCTACGCCTATATGTCTACTAAATTCATAAGTACATGATACATCTCGGATGTCTTCCCGTTAATAAACCAAAGTCACGAATATTCACACATACTATTTACATATGTGCCTTTCGCGCTACACTAAATGTAACGTAGATTTGTAGTTAATCGAACAGTAAACGTATGATAGAAAAAAAAAAACATGTATTCCAATGATTACATTTTTATTTAAAAAAAAAAAGTATTCTTTTTTTCTCTTTAGGTTCAAAAAAGTAATTTAAGAAAATAATTGTTTGCTTAAAAAATAAAAAATAAATATTTTTTAAAAAAAAAAAAATTGATAAACAATTGATAAAAAAAAAAAAGGTGCCAGCCTATAAATTATAAGTAATTTATTATTATTTTTTAATTAAATTATTTTTTCTTTTACTATAGAAAAGTAACTCCATTTTTTAGTTATCTCTTAGAAAATGATGGAGGGGGTCGTCAACACATGTAGTATATATGCACGTAAGGTTAAAGTATACTTATGTTAGTGCTGAGAAACAGAATGGTTTCAGTAAACTAAAAGCTACCATGGCGGACGGTAAGCAGAAGATTCGCATCGGTATCGTAGGTGCTGGATTGGTGTGTACATAAAAATCTACTTTTCAAAATTTAATATTTATAATTTAAAAAGCTTCTCTTATAAAAGATATTTCTTGATAAATATTAACAATATTTGTATCAGGTAGGAACATTAGCTGCATGTTACTTTGCTAAACGAGGACATTCAATTTCTGTTTACGAATATCGTTCAGGTAATAAACAAATATAATATTTAATTGACCAGTATCGAAAGTTTTAATATTAAATATTTAATTAAAGATAAACCATATTAATTTTTGTTGTTATTATATTATTGGTAGAATATCAATGATAGAGTTAGTAATTTATGTAATAAAAAGCTACTCTATTGTTCTTATCTCTTTTTGCACTTTGAATACTTATGATTTTATCTATTAATCGTGCTGTTTTATCGGGTATAATCTACATAAACTTATACGTTACTTAAAATTAATTGAAATATGTAATTCTACCGACTTTCATATTTAAACAGTATATGTAGTTATTTCAGAGTTTAGCTAGCCATTTCGCGAATTAATGGATTTCATAAAGTAACGCCAACATATGTGTTAAATTGATATATGATACATATCTTTCAGATATTAGAAAAGAAAAATTGGTAGGTCAAAGTATAGATTTAGCTTTATCAACACGTGGACGAGAAGCTTTAAGAGCAGTAGGTCTTGAGGATGCCCTTGTTAATCAACACGGTATCGCTATGAAAGGTAGAATGCTACATGGTAGAAACGGCCAATTGAAAGAAATGATTTATGACAGCGTCAAAGGAAATGTGAGCATATTAATAATTTTCGTTTAAGCTTCTACTAATCGCTTATTGACACTATTTTTCAAATATTTCTAATATCTGCATCATCTTTGTTGGGTTTTCAGTGCATTTACTCTGTCAACAGACAATATCTCAATGAAATTTTACTCAACGGTGAGTTCTTAATTTTACTTATTTCTTTTTATTTGACTTTTCATCTTTTTTTATATTTTTAATACACTCATTTGTACTGTATTCAAATGATAAAGTTACAAAATATTATCTCTATAATATTATAATGTTATTAATTATTATCGTGTTACACATACGTATACACATATAACGGCTACGCGACGAATTTTTATCGTAAATAAATTTTTTATGTGAAAAAATAACACGAACCTGAGATGGTATTCAAGATTAAAAAATAGTTTTGAACATCCGATAGCCTCTAGTACAGTGTGAAGCCACAAGAATTCAAACATATCGGGTTACTTTCATCCATGCAGTCCCCTTACATCCTATATACGCAAATATATGTTACCGTCGAAGCCGTAAATCAGTCATTGCTAGTAATTCCTCGGCATTGTTATTAATGCAAAGCGCCTTCTGACAAAGTTGGAAAAGAGACTTTTTATAGTTTTTCCTAGGCATCGAACATAATACTCTGATATTCTATAGAATATCAAATTACTATTTAAACAACATTGAAAAGAATACATTCTGGAGCACAGGCCCGACGCAACAGTCCCCCAGTCATTCTATACAATGCCCAGACGGCTTTGGTCGGTCTACAAAATGTGCTTCAGTTAGTTGTGTTTATAGCACAGGGCTGGGGGTAGCAGGAAAGTGTTTTTAAGATCATTTAAGTAAAAAGAATCATGGATATTTAAAAATGGATATATAATGCCTTGAACAAGTTTCTGTCAATCTATACAATATGATTTAGTGGGGTGTATTTAAAGCGCAACGGGGGCAACCCAATATTTGTATAAAATACCCGCAGTAATACGTTGACCGTAACATATATTAAGGTGTTTAACACTAAACCTACCGAGATTTCATGTATTAGTATACCTTTTTCTACAGTGAGCGATTAAATGACCGCTTTAAAAACAAACTTTAATATTAATATGAAGTAAGATTTTTCAGCCAATAAATATTTTTCTTATATTTAGAATCAAATTTCAATTTGATACTTCAACTAATCGCTTCTTGTGAATACATATAGTAACTAATTAAAACGTGTAATTCTGCCTTATATCATTCTTTAACTGATTTATTTAGTTATTCTATAGAATAACTATTTACTCTATAAATTATTCTGATTTAACACTTTAACGGGGGGTAACATATACATATAATCGATAGTATATATTTCATTGATTTTAGAAACTTACGTAAATAATTAGTATTTTATAAACCTAGCTGCAGAAAAGTATTCTGAAGTACAGCTCTACTTTAACTCGAAAATCATCGACGCTGATATCGAGCAAGGAAAATTAACAATTTTAAAGTATGTATATATATATGTAATATAATATAATCATTTTTAAATATTTATTATATTATAGAGCGTGGTTCACATTTAAGCAAGGCCATCTCTTTAACTCATTGTGATACAAAAAATATTGTATACGTAATGTACATGGTGGCAAGAATATTTTTTTCTTAAAATATTTTTTTTGGTGTTTTTCAAGGTTACCGGTATGTTTTATTGCATATTGATGACTACATTTTTTTATTGCATCGCGAAACCGATTGAAAAATACATTCAGATATGTATAATAATATGACCTTGAAATTACTATAAACTTCGAAAATTAAAGTTTTACGTGGAACTAATGTCTATTGAGATTGCAAGCTTTGACCAAAACATGACAATCAAGAAACTAAATGTAAATAAACATGTCTACTACCATAATCCTGATGATACCTAACGGTTTGAAATTGTTATCAGTTCAAATTTACGAGGCATTAAAATACTATTTGAAATAAATAACTTAACGCAAGAGAAAATTAATATGGTATTTATTTACGATAAATCTGATCAATGTTTAATGAAAGCAGTTTGAATGTATAAAAATAAATTACAAGAATTAGCAACTCTTATGATCTGTAGAATTTTACGTACGTAGAATTCTCTTATGATCATAAGAATGGTTCCATTCAATGGAACAACTTTTTCAAGTCATTAGGTAATAAATTTATAATAGCTGGCGACTTCCATACACAAATAAATATTTAGGAGACAACAAATATTTAATTTAAAATTTCCTAAAATACATAATTTATTGACTAAATAATAATAGTTTCTGTTAAAATGAAATATTGTTTTTCTTTTAATCAAGGTTCACTATTTTTGACAATAAATAAAAAAACGGCGTGCCATATTCGAAATAAAAACGCAGCACTTATACGCCGATATATATAGATATACATAACGCTCGATACTCGATAGTGGCCAAGACAAAAAATACTCGCTACCGAATGAAAAAATAAAAAGAGCGAAATATCCATTTGTTTTCTCACTCGCACTCGCATTCACGACTGAGAGACCCCAAGATAACGCACACTAGCTCGCTCGCGTGTAAAGACCGACGAAGAGGCGGGGCTTGCCCCACTCTTACAATTCACCTTCACTTTCTCGCTTATTTTTGCAAATACGAAGATACACCTTACAACATTTTTTATGTATTTTTCAATTGTCTACAACTTTTGTTTGAAACTTTTGTCGATTAAATGCCTAGTTTCTAAGATACGGCCATTTTTAGCCTTTTTAACCCTTTTTCTCAAAAATCTCGTGATCTAATTGCAAAAAATTAGCACCATTCGATGCAGCGTCGTCGAATTACCATTATATCAAGTTTTTCTACAATTACCAGAAAATTTGGTAGTTTGTCTTTTTTGTACTGGGCTAGGTGTAAACTTCGGTTATTGTATTTCAACATATATATTAGTATAGAGTACGAAAGGTTTTATGAAATAATACGATGGCAGGTAGGTGGATGATCCCTAACGTCTTTTGTCCGATTCGTTCCGGTCGAGCTGGTTTGGATGCCGCGTCAATAAAACAGCTATATCTCCAATAATAATTTTAATTTTGAAAAATTCTCTTAAAGACATTTTCTTAAAGGGTTAAGCTTTAAAAATATGAAAAAAGATCGATTGTTTCACATTTCTAGACCAGAATACCCCCTAAATTTCGAAACAAATCTGTAGAGTCGGTCATTGAGCGTTTCGAGAAATATTTTATCATAGAAGGATACTATTTGAAACATCTCCAAAGTTGATAACTGAAGATAACGCGAGTTTTGTCTTAACACATCTGACGATTGATATTTTGAATGTGATAAAAAGAAATATTTTTGATTTATCTTATTAGGTTCAGGAATCTTGGCCAAACATATTCGAGATCAGTTTTTTACGTAACATTCGTAAATTATTAAAATTCGTAAAATTTTAATTATCGAAAATCGAGGTCATTTCAAAGTCACGTTATTATACATATCTAAATGTATTAGAAAGACCAGTTACATGATGCAATAAACAAAAATATAATTATTGGTCAAAAAACACCGAAAAATATAATTTTACCAGATATTTGTCCTTTGACACCATGCACATTAAGTAAAAAATATATTTTGACTCGCAATTAGCCATATAAATATTTAGATTAGCTTACTTAAAAGGACCTCCCATATAAATATGTACAAATATGTTTTAGTACGAAGAATCAAACGACGGAAGAAGTAAATATCGATCTAATAATCGGAGCAGATGGTGCTTATTCTACCATACGAAAGATTTTTTTGAAAAGACCACTTTTTAATTATAGCCAAACTTACATCGAACATGGATACGTTGAATTATTTATACCATCTGGAAAAAAAAGCGAGGTGATAATGATATTTTAATGAAGTATTAGGTCATTAAATATATGAAACGTCCACATTTACTTTTAGTTCGAATAAATTCTTTGATTGTGTATCTACAATAAAATCTAAACATGTAAATGACTTGTTTTAAAGTTTGCAATGAGTGGAAACCATCTTCACATTTGGCCAAGAGACGAGTTTATGATGATAGCATTACCAAACGAGGATCACAGTTTTACTGCTAATCTCTTCGCACCTTTTAGTACTTTCGACAAATTAAAAACGCCTGAAAGTTTAATTACTTTTTATAAGAAACAATTTCCAGATGTATTAACATTGATCGGCGAAGAAATATTAGTTAAAAATTATTTCAAAAAAAAACCGCAAACTTTGATATCGATTAAGGTACTATAACTATTTTTCTGCCCGTTTGTTTATTACTATTTACTGATATTAATATTTTTATGCTTACAGTGCAGACCATTTCACGTTGGTAAAACGGCCATTTTGGTAGGAGATGCTGCTCACGCTATGGTACCATTTTACGCTCAAGGAATGAATACTGTAGGTTTATGATATTATTGCTTTAGTCAATAAATAATATCTTAAAAATATATATTTATATCCATAATATATTTCTTACTTTCTTGGAAATAAAATTACAGTTACATTTCGTATTTGAATTTCTTGAATTTACAGGGATTCGAGGATATCTCCTTGCTGGATAATCTAATGGAAAAATACAATTCGAATTTAATTGAAATTCTTCCGAAATTTTCTGAACTTCGATGTAACGATGCAGAAGCGATATGTGACTTAGCAATGTATAATTATATCGAGGTAAATAATTTGAATAATTTTACCTATATAAACGAGAATGTTTGTATATTTACAAACATTGTATATTACAATTTTGTGTTGTACTTATAATAGTAATATATACATTTAATTGCAGATGAGGCATTTAGTACAGAAAAAGTCTTTTGCTTTGCGTCGACATCTTGATACTTTTTTATATAAATTTATTCCAAATACTTGGATACCACTTTATAGTACAATACATTTCAGTCGAATGAGTTTCCAGGAATGTATAATTAATAAAAAATGGCAAGATAAGGTATGTTTATACTGTAGATATACTATACAACGTGTATTCTTAATCATAATCCACATGTATGCTATGTACTATAAATAATAATTAATAATTATTGAAGTATATTTAACAATAATTTACGTTTTAGGTGTTGCAAAGAAGTTTGTGGTACTTAGGATCAGCGTTAACTGCTATTATTGCTCTTTCATTCTCAAAAATTTATTTTGAACAAATGAGGACAACAATTTAGGCTAAACTATGCAAATTTTTACAGATATTTTATAACTAATTTTTATACTCTTCGTAATTATGATTAACGAATTAACTAAATGTTTATATTACACATGTAATCGTGATTATTTTTTATTATCAGTTATTGATTAAAAATAATATGAAAAAATGTATTAATTATGTATCTTCGCGCCAAGCATGAGATTATGTCAATCGAATATCATCTTGAATATATTAGCCAATAGAAATGTTCGTAGATGACAATTGGGCGAATCTAAGAATAAGATTGGATTGATTTGTAGCAAGCTCATTGGTCGATTGTAGGAACCAATGAGCTATAAGAAATGTCTTTAACCTCGAATGCTTGGAGGTAATTTTAAACTTGAATGAACTCGAGAATTGATTTGACTATTTTAAACGATTACGTGATTGTAGCGTGAAAAGATAAAAAAAGAAGATGAAATAATGTTGAAATCACTAAGAAATAATATCTACTTGAAGAAATGATATTTATAAGTAACGTCAATTTAAAAGAAATAATTCTCTTCGAAATCGAACGAATACACATTCCTTAGATATTTTTTAAAGAGGAACGAACACTCCCCACCACTCGTAACTTTCGCGCGGAAACAGTAGATGGCAGTATTGGACAGAAGTAAGAAAGAGCAAGCGCTAGAAAGAAAGAGATAGAAAATGTTAAGAGAGAAGGAGAAGGGAGTGCTGGTGCAGTTGCTCGTAGAATAACGCGATAGATGGGTGTTTGTAGACGAAGAGGAAGAGAGAGCATGCGGAATGGAGCAATCGCGTTACGACTGTCATGATTATTTCATTCTTCCGCCTCTTGTTGATTTAAAAGCGTATCTAATACGCTGTCGATAATCCATATATTTATTAACTCGAAAAAACGAAAACGTAGTGTGAAGTTAGTATCGTATGAAAGGAAACACGGGATCGTCGTTTTTTTCAGATATTAGACGACACTACTCTTTATATATATACACATATATAATTCGTGCGTTTAAAGGAACGAGAAAGAGTGGTGCCAGTGCCAATATTATATACAAAGATAGAAGCTACGTGCGCGTAAACGTATGATAGTTCCCATCTTTATCCTGTCTAAAGTGCATGCAAGGGAATGCATATATATACATGCGTATGCATAGAGGACATAGATGTACATATACATTCATATATATATATATATATATTATGTGATGGAAGATTCACGATAAGAAGAGCAGGAAAGTAGAAAAAAATTAAAAAAAAAAAGCAGAAAAAAAAAATTCAGTTATATTATTATTAAAGAGATAGACGGGAAGAATCGAAAAAATAAAGAAAAACCGGCTTTCCAATCTAGTAGTGTTTTTCTTTTGGTGGTGATTGGTTAGATATCTGGTGCCGAAAATTTACCTTCTTCCTATGTTTTTTTGTCAATGACATACCGCGAGAATAAGACCGGTCGTCGACAATTCGATGCTCTCGTATGTCGTCGTCCAGCAAAGTGAAATACAGAGTTTCCCTCGTCGTTTATTTGCCTTTTCCTTCAGGCCTACAGCTGATTCGCTTCAAAGAAACCGTCGACATCGTCGCACCGGAGGTAAACGTTCGATTATCTTATTATTATTATTATTATTACTCTTTTTTACCTTGCGTTGTTTTTCTCTCGCTCTTCTTCCATTCGTTCCTTTGTCTCTCTCCCTCTTGTACTTTTAAGCGCGGCAACATTTCTCCCTCTCTCTATCTTATTCGCTCTACACAAGTATCATAAACGATGATGGTTATATTCTCTTACGCGCTTACATTTTATTTTTCTTCTAAATGCCAGAAAAAGGGGTCTCTCTTAGTTTCTAAGGAAATTCGTAAGCTCGCATTAATATTGATCGGAGAGAGAAAAGGTAGTACGAAAGACGCAGAAGGGAGATGTACGAGAGAAAGAGAGAGAGAGAGAGAGAGAGAGAGAGATTGTTACGTACTATATATATGTGTACTGTTCGATTCTCTCGAACCGCCCCAGAGATCTCAGGATCCGCCCTAATCCGATTTTCACGTTACTTTTTAAGAGATGCTTGAATAATGACAATGTCAAAGACGATCGTTAGTTAGTATAACATATATATACTATCTGTTATTCGTCTTTTTAAATAAAGAAACAGGAGAGATAATGAAACTTGTATTTATGTATGGTTATTCACATAAGAGAGGATGATGTTCAACAACGTTCCCACAAGGAAATATGATTTACGATCGTCCGATAAACGTTTTTAATATCGGGGCCGATCCACTTGAGAACATGCATTTTGAGATTACAGCCTTTGCTGTTGCTGCTGTAGCTAAAACTGCGACTCTTTCTGCTGTTATTGCTACCACTACTGCTACCGCCACTGTGTTACTATATTATAACTACTATTATTATTACTATTGCTATTGCTGATCTTGCTATCACTGTCATTCTCGTGCTACGATCAAAAGTTGGAACACATTCGACGCATCGGACTAGAGCGATTATCTCTCTCCCTCTCTCTTTCTCTTTCTCATTAGAAGGTTAAATATATTGTCTATTATAACGTAAAACGTATCACTCTTATGGAAAAAACTTATTCAATCAGTGATAATATAGATTTTTGTACTTGGTCAAATTTGTCTACGTCTTTAAAGACATATTTTAATCAAGTCCTCTGATTATTCAACACACGAATACATTTCGAGCAATGACAATGATTCGCGATTTGTCCTTTGTATTAATTTCTTCGAAAGAGATTTCATAAAATACAAAAATTTCATAAAAACAACATTTTGTATTTATTTAACAATATGATTTGAAAATGATGCTTTAAAAGAGGTTACTCGAATTATAGGGATCAATTTTTAATTGAATATATGATGTGAGCGTGTGCGTATGTATATACATATATATGTATGGATATATGTAGGGAATCATCTTATACACTTTGTTGTGATCTACCGCGTCAATGCGAGTAGCTGTTGCGTAAAGTTTCGGCAAAACATGCTCGCTCGCACGAAGAAGCCTCGTTAATGGAGCTGAAAAGTGCGCCAATGAAGCTGTCAATTATATCAGACACCTTTTGTAATTAAGTACGAAAGACCATTCACAAAGCCAAGGATCTATCCACTCTATACGTGTATATATACGATAAGACATTAAGAACGTGTAGAATTCTTTGTAATCTGGGATATATATCTTTTCTTCCATAATTTGATCAATCTTCATTTCGTTTAATCGTCTATATTATGTATGAATATAAATTAGTCTTGTATAATAAGTAAAATATCGAATGTGAAAAAGTAAATTTGAATATAATTCAATTGAGATTTGATTTCGTATCATTTTCTGTAATCGTTTTCTCGATTTACGAATAAAAACATTATAACAAATATGTCGTAACAACGGGAGGCAAAAATTGACATCAAAAAAGTTTGCCAAGAGATTACAATCTAAATAATATTTATAATTTTCTAAACAGGTAATATTTATGATGTGAAATATAAAAAGCATATAAATCTAAATAAGAAGTTTGCCAGGAGACTACAATCGAATTTTATTTATAATTTTCATAGTAGTATTTATATACGATCAAGTATGAAAAGGACAGAAATTTACACCAGAAAAGCTTGCCAAAAGATTACAATCGAATTTTATTTATAATTTTCGAAGTAGTATATTTACTTGATACTGAAATAAAATAAAGATTCTTGCAATCATCTTTACGTTTAACAAATAGAAACGTCATCGGTAAATATTCTTAAAGAAATACTATATAATCTTTGCGAATTATACTAATTGTAAGAGAGAGAGAGAGAGAGAGAGAGAGAGAAAGGAAATACATTAAAAATTACAACAACAACAAAAAAAGGAAAAATAGTTCAAATATGAATATGCAATATGAACAAACAAAAATAGATATCTACGGCAATAATAAAAGTCAATATGCAGGTGTTAGAAATATAGAAAAATGTTTGCCTGTTGATTCAACATGTAATATTAGTATAAGTTTTAATAGTATCAATTGATTAGAACGAAATACGTATTAATGCGAAAATCCTTTTGAATAATTGAATTAAAGAGAATGAAAAAAGGGCAAATGTTTTGCTACTCTTATTGTTATTACTATGATCGATCTTAGTTAAATGAGATCTATCGTACAAATAAAAATAATACGTGAGAGATCCTTCAACCGACCCTAGCGTATCAGCCGGTAGCACTTGCTATCGTTAAATCACGATGATTACCGCATTGGGTTTCATTACTCGGAAGTAGGCAGTTCTCGTTTCAGGGACTTTTGTACATAGATAAAACTACTCGTTCAAAGAGAGAGAGAGAGAGAGAGAGAGAGAGAGAGAGAAGCAATTCGACATGATCTTTTTCACCTTTTCAACAAAATCTCATTATTTTATTTGTCCAGAAAAAAAAAGGAAAAGGAAACAATAAAAATCGTTTAGTACTTTCGATTAGTACAGAGATTAGACTTTCATAACAATCTTCGATTGTCATAATACGTTGTCAGTGTAATAACAGAACAGGTAGCTAACCTATAACGAGGGGGTGTGTTTATCTAATCAACGCTCGATAAATGTACGAAGCGGATTATGTTTCTTATATCTCTCTCTGATCTAAATTCATATGCGTTTTATATTCTTCAAATCTTTCATCAATTATTTTCATTGCAATTCTAATGATATTTTTTAATCATTACTTTGTAATTCGATAACATTCAAAAAAGAAAAATTTATTAACAATGAAAATTTGGAGATTTTTGATTTTGTTTTTAAGTATATTTTATAATCGCGTTGATAGAAAAGTCTTCTCTTTTATTTTCTTCCTTTTATTGTACGACGTGAATTATTTTTACGCCGAACCATTGACTTTGGTTCGCATATCCCTATTTTCGCGTAGGCGACATGGTTTCTGATTGACCTTAGACATTTGCCTCCACTTTATACAATGAATCTAGCTAACACTCATTTCTGCATAATTTTAAACAACTTGGAAAATCATCTTCATTGCTCACACGGCAACATATATATTGTCATTGTCATAGTTCTCTTCTCCCACGTTCAATGAAAGATTAAAAAAGCATAGATCATCATAGTTTTTCATGATTTGCCGCATATTACTGTTCGAATAATTACTCAATTTTCTATTTCTTTTTTTTTCTATTTATATTTTTGGGTATGATCGTATCTTCCTATTTATATATCTAAATAATAAATCCATCTTAATATCTTAACGTTTAGCAATCTTCGCTGATATCAATTCTCCAAGAAGATGATCCGTATCGATAAATAGAAAATCAAATTTTACAGATGTTATCGCGAATATTATAATCGCATTTATAACTTGCGAGCGATGCAAACGCGTGCTAAGAAACAAATCAAACGTATCTTATTTATGCATGTATTATTCACCTCGATCCTAATTAGAATTGATAATGGTTTAACATAAGAATATTCAACGTTTCTATGTATCGATATAATTATTTCAACATAATTTCTACATGTATCTTTTGTAAACTTAAATTATTTTTTCGAAAACCAACACAGACTCGAATTTTAATTAGATTCAATCGTTCTATATGTTATTTGTATCTTAATCTGAAATTTAGTTTATTTGTGTTTCGTAATAGTACGCAGTATATACAAAAAAATGAAGTAATTATTACAATTGTAAAATGGGTCTGAGGATCTTTTTTTTTATGGGTCATATCAAATCGTTTATGAGTGTAAAACAAACGACGGGTCATCGTATTCGATATTACGAGAGAGAAACAAGATCGTTTGAACAGCTGAGACGTGTAATGCGGATGCATCGCTGCTGTTTATGCCAATAGTATTGAACCATCTGGTTGGTACACTACTAATAAGAGAATCCATCAGGATCTGTTTATTGCGTCTTCATTTTACTCCAGAAACGTTGTCTGTAGGATGATAACTTGTTTTGACTAAAGAGTTTCAATTTTTCCAAACATCATACTTCTGTTATTTTTACATCGATCCGATAAATTAATCCTCAACATAGACAAAAAACAAAAAAGATCTATATTAATCACAATTGACCCGAGTCAAACAAATTATTCGGTATATCAAGTTATTTTTCAATTGACAAAAGCAAACTTTATACGTCAGCTCTTTTTATATTCTAATGAAAAGGATTACCACAATCATATCCGTGAGACTCGTAAAAACATTTAATGATCGAAATAGAAATATTCAAATTTGAATCCGAGCAGAACCACAAATGGACAATGTGTCGTATCTTTGCGAGGCCCGAGTAACTCGTTCAAAGATAAAATTAGAATCGGAGCTGTGTTTGAGTAGGACGCGTGCCTGGAACATATGCCTGAATGGGGTCACCGATACAACAAGTATGATGATCTACTAAAAAAAAGGAGATAAAAAACATCTTATTCTAATGACAAATTTCAATAGAAACAAAAAAGAAAAAGGAACATCTGTTAACTCTTAAGCAAAATCATTATACATAATAAAACACAAGCCAAGAGTTGATGATCATTTCAACGATCCTTTAGATTATTTTAAAGATCAACAAACAATTAAGATTCTAACCACAGTCTCAACAAATCTAACTCATCATTATCATTCTCCCTGACGTTTATCCAAGGTTATTATACGGATTCTCTTTTTCTTTAGTTTAACACGACAACGATGACGACGATGATTAAACTGAAATCGATGTTGATTTTACGATTGTCTTTCTCTATCGTGAAATACATTTATTATCTTAGACATTATACATTATTTTCTTAAGAATCATCGGTTAGCAGGTTGACGCTTGGTATTCGTGTTGATAACTAACACATGTACAAATCTAGGAAACTGATAATTTCGATCCATGTTTCATCAAGTTGATACCTTATAAGATTAATTTATATAAAGAGAGTACGAAAGATCTATAAAATATATTTGATCGAATATAAGAAAAATAATCGAACGATGATTATGAAATTAGTCCAAATGAAAAATAACAAGAAAATTAGCTGTTTGCTTAATTTTCATAATTACTGGTTCATTTATTACGTATTACAACGTTCTTACTGATTGATTTATTTATTTTGATAATAATTCTTATTTCCAGATGAAAATTGAAACGTCCCAGGATTTGACATAAAGGATAGATGTCCTATAAAAAGAATGCTGTTTATTGAAAATATGGAAAATCTTCTGCCGTAGTGGCAGGTGTGATGTTGGTCACGCAGACTCCCTCCTCGATGGACAACCCCCCGAATATGTTGTCGGTTCTCGAGGGGGAGGCGCAGAACGACGTGGATGACATATTCCCACCGCATGTTGACACTACGAATATCGTAATACAACCAGAATCGCCAACGAGTAAGAAGCAACCACTGAAAACCTTCAAAGAGATCAATGCACTTTTACAAGCATCCAAGAAGAGGGAAGTGAAGTTAATTATAAGGGAGAACGCTTGGCCCTTAAACAACGGCATTAGGGCACAACTTTGGCCAGCTCTTTGCAATCAGTATGCTCATGGAAAAAATATGCTTGATGGATTTTATTGGGACATGGTGAATCAAGTCTTTGGAACTACAGGTTTGTATTTTGGTACCAAATATTTTTCTACTTATGCATGATGAAGGAACTTATATTGATTACTAACATAAATAAGTTTTATTGCAAGTACATATATATATATCAACATGTTCTTATTATCACAATGAAAATATATACGAGGTCTGTTCAAAAAGTATCGCGAATTTTGAATTTCCCCGGGGAGACGCATATTCGATTTTCAATTTTTTTTTTGCGTTATGTTGGTACTCATGTCCCTCACTTATGCTGACAAGTTCGGCCACTTTGAATGTTTAGTTAATTTTTGACAGCTATTTTGCTTAGACGTGTTTTGGCTCGTCTTCGATTTTTACCTATTTTTTGGTTTTTGCACCATGATAACGCCCCTGCTCACACATCGTTGCTTGTACGCGAATTTTTGGCCAAAAACAACACAATAATGATACCGCAGCCCCCTTTGTCCCCTTCAAAGTAATCCTCATCAGATATTATACACTTGTGCCAACGTTTTTTTCCAATCCTCGAAGCACTTCAAAAAATCATTTTTAGCGATCTTGTGTTCAGTTTCTCCTTCAATGCCGTCTGTATCTCCTCAATCGTAGCGTAGCGTCGTCCTTTCATGGGCCTTTTCAGTTTCGGGAACAGGAAAAAGTCACAGGGGCCCAGATCTGGGGAATACGGTGGCGTATATAACGTAACACGTCCAAGCAAAATAGCTGTCAATAATTAACTAAACATTCAAAGTGGCCGAACTTGTCAGCATAAGTGAGGGACATGAGTACCAACATAACCCCACAAAAAAATTGAATATCAAATATACGTCCCCCCCGGGGAAATTCAAAATTCGCGATACTTTTTGAACAGACCTCGGTACACTTGTTTTCTTTTTTCTTATATAATTTTAACAGATTTTTTTTTTCTTTTTGTAGAGTTACCTGAAAAGTCAATCATGTTACCGCCATTCGTCGATAGCACGCATTGTCTATCGTATAATTTAACGAGAAAAGGTAGAAGCGTCGCTGACCGAGTTGTTTCTGTTCTGGGATATGCTTGTCCTGATATTACTTATAGTCCATCGTTATATCCTATTACTGCTCTTCTATTACACTTTATGCCAGGTTTTTAATGTCTTTTAAAACGTTAATATCTTAGCTTTATATTAACCCTTAGTGTGCACACCTCCGTAGCGAATCATTCAGTGACTCCAGACAATATTTGACCTCGAATATCTTGGCAACTATGCACTTTTCGAAAAAAGATGAAGATCATTTTTGCAGTAAATTGATTAAATTTTAAACCTGTGCAATCAGATTTGCAAAAGGAAAAAAATGTAACCGTCAAAAAAGCGCTTGAATTTGACGTTGGTTTCATTGGTAGAAACCAAAATTTGGAATCAAAATGACCCCAAATCCACACTAAGGGTTGAGTTATACGTTAATTGTATAATAAATGTGTATTTTATATTTCTTTGAAATAGAAGAAGAATGTTATCACTGTATGGCCAGTTTAGTAGCTGTAAAAGAAAAAATGTTTATTACGCAAACAAAGCTTCTTTACGAAGTTACATGGAAAACTGTAGAGCAAATAACTAAAAAACACGTTGTAAGTAAAAATAATATATTAATATAT